ACAACGTTTCGACAAAGGTTTGTCATCAAAAAAACCTTTTCGAAACGTTGTGCATTTGCTGTTATATTAAAGTTTTTCTTCATTACCCATTCAAGCCGTCTCCAGCCATTATTAGTCTCAAAGTGGGTTCCTCGTCATCGAATTGGAAAGCTTTGTTCGGCTGTCAAACACGTCATCCCAAGGATTTGGGCCACGGTGGACATACATGGTGGCCACATTAAGAAGATAGCGCCCTCTGGTGACCATTTATGATGACCACGGCTTTATATATTTCCCATTCTATCATTGGTATTTCTACGAAAAATGGTGAATGGTATTAATTTTTTTTAGGTTCGAATGCCCCATGATACTTTACATATTACCCGACCGTCTCTGGGAGATGAGACCTGCATATCTGACATATAAAAACGTTTTAAAACTTCTCTTTCTCCTTTTTATGCATAAAAGTAATGTTTTGAATGTGTTTAATTCCCTCTTGTACTTCCAATGATCATGTGTTATTCACTAACAGTTGCCTTTGTTTTAAAGATGAAATTATTGTAAACTTTTAACTTTTGTTGAAATCAATTACTTTGTACTTTATGCCATTATTGTAATCGGCTCCTATATATATATTATACCAATGCTACAATCAGGTGCTATATATCTTATGGCAGTGTTATAATCAGCTGTTCTATATCTTATGTCCGTTCAAGATTGTTGAAGGAGGAGGAGGCTTGTTATATTTAATAATGTTCAAGATTGTTGAAGGAGGCTTGTTATACTTAATAATGTTCAAGATTGTTGAAGGAGGCTTGTTATACTTGATAATGCTCAAGATTGTTGAAGGAGGCTTGTTATATTTAATAATGTTCAAGATTGTTGAAGGAGGCTTGTTATACTTAATAATGTTCAAGATTGTTGAAGGAGGCTTGTTATACTTGATAATGCTCAAGATTGTTGAAGGAGGCTTGTTATACTTAATAATGTTCAAAATTGTTGAAGGAGGCTTGTTATATTTAATAATGTTCAAGATTGTTGAAGGAGGCTTGCTATACATAATAATGTTATTTTTTCTCTGCAAAGCATCAATATCATCGTCCCCCGCTGGGACAGCGGTAAGTCTATGTACTTACAACGCTAAAATCAGGGGTTCGTTTCCCCTCGGTGGACACAGTAGATAGCCCGATGTGGCTTTGCTATAAAAATTCACACACACACACTCAATATCATCATTATTTTGTATTTATTAATTGTTTTATATTGGTAATATCTGAGATCTGAATATAGATACATATTTATACCTTGGATCAGAGCTAGAGGACGGACAGTTCTACAGAAAAAATAGTATCTTTCCGATTTCTTATTGGCTCAACAAAATATGATGCCATTTTGTATAATTTATTTCAGATAATCACTTTTTAGTAGCCGTTTGTTTCCCTTTCAATAAAACAGCTTGAATTTGAAAATAATACTCTAACACCTTCATGGATAAAAACAAATTGAAAATAATACCCTGGCACCTTCATGAATCAAACACAAAATTACTTTTCTCATGGAAGGCACTTGGAGGTACTTTTCAGGGCTAGAAAGTACGTTTTAGAGCTGGAGGTACTTTCTAAGGCTGGAGATACTTTTGAGGTCTAGTTTTGTCGTTGCGTTCTGATAGGGTTGAGCAAGTTGAGATAAAAAAATCATTACGTCACGGACTGTTCGTGGACTCTTGGTTAGCGTGCTGTATTCTGGATCTGATGGTCCTTTGTCCTCGTCGTTATTGGGCGAAGTTTGAAATAATTACGATAAATTAAACGTTTGTTGCAACTTGCCACTTAATTACCATACTGATAGGTTATTAGTTTCACTCCGGTGTATTATTAACTAGAAATATCCTATAAATATAAATAGTTTGTATAAAGATAATAATAAAGAAGAGAAAATATTTGGTATTCATTTCGATTTACCTTGTCATTTTTTCCAAATAACAACAACATTTGTATTTAGAACTAGACAATCGTAAACTTAAACGTTTCCGAAGAAAAGCTGTTGATATTTGTTGATTTATTTCGCGTAAAATCACACAAGCTCTGTCTTTAAGAGCCGTCCCTAATTTTGAACTGATAGATTAAAGGAGAAGCAGTTATTTAATAGCACCCACCAACAACTCGTGAGCTACTCTAATCGAATAGTGTAATTTAGCTGTCACTTTTATAACGCAACCGCGGTCCCAAAGTTTGGAGTGCGATTTTGTTGCAGCGGGACGCGAACGACGGAACACTTAGATCCAAAGCAAAGCACGCTTACCGTTAGACTACAACTCTAAGAAACCATCCAACCGGTGTGATAAGAATCGTATGAGAAAAGTTCTTTTGATCAAGCAGATTTTAGTAGTGACAACAGATTTGACTATAAATCGATGTAACATAGGCATATAGGTATGTAGATAATTAAATATACATCAATATTTTGTTGGAGGGATTTTTAAATATATCGAACATTTTACTAAAACTTCCGGACAAATCCCAACTTTCATCTGGTAAGATATAGCGTTCCGAATGGGCTAATAAAAAGTTGCAATTATTATATGTTTAATATCAGCGCTATATATAAACTCATAACCCACACGAGGTTTGTACGCTATTAAATATTTAGTAAAAGATAAAGACGATACACTAGACTGATCTGAAACGATCCCAACAATAAGAAAACAAAAGAAATGTTTTTATCCTACTGGTTGTCTAACTTGGCTAATTTTTGAGGATTAAACTAAGTAGGTGTTAAGCCTATTTACGAGTACTTTTACTAATTATTGTTTATCATACTGGTTGTTTAACTTGGCTAATTGTTGTGGATTAAACTTAGTAGTCGTTAAGGCTATCTACGAGTACTTTTAGTAATTATTGTTTTGGGATGAGCCACGTTGTCTACGATTTGCTCATACTCTCGACCAAAACGACTTACAATGGATAATGTGAGATAGGGTATCGAACGTACATCTAGTCAACCATAAACTTTTGTTGTTGTTTTTTTACTTTTTCTTAGAAAAATAAATCTCTTCATTACGGTCGTTGATACGTAATTAACACAGACAAAATTAAGAATGCTCCAGAGAAGAAAAACGAGTTACTTTTGTGTTTTCAGTTCTTCATTTCTGTAAAATATTGTGTCTGGATTAAGGGTGATTAGTTCACACTTCGCCTTAATTCCCTTGAATAACACGTCCAAACAGCCGGATCAATCTCTGTCTAGGCAGAACCGATTCGGAATACTAACATTTCATGCAATAAAAACTACAAAAACTTGACAACAAAGTTTTAGAAAAAGACGCCTAATTATAATTCACTCAAAAATACACATTATGCATTACAGGGAGTGAAAATCAGTTTTTTCAGCGTAAACTTCCTAATTATTATGCATATTTGGTGGCATTCTTAGAGGCTGAAAATGGATATCAATTCTCCTCATTATCTTGTG